GCGGGCACATCCCCAGTGGGGGTGTGCAGGAGGCAGCTGGTCGATGTTTCTCTCTCATTGATGTTTCTTACTCTCTATCCCTCTCCCTTCCTCTCTGTAAAAAATCAATAAAGTATGTATATTTTTAAAAATCAATAAAATATATTTTTAAAAAAAGAAAGAAATGAAATGATTTGCCCAGGGTCAAGAACTAGTTAGTGACTGGATTGGAAATTTATCTGCTTAACTTCAAAGTTTATATACTTTTTTACAAAGGTCGGCTCCTTGAGGCTTTGAATAAATTGGTCGGAAATATTTTTTTTCCTGAACTTGAAAAGATGGTCTGTACCTTAGTTAGAGTGCTCTTGGTTCCTGAGAACATAGTAGATAAGATAATGACAAGTATGTAAACTAACTGAAAGGAAGATTTCCGCTGTCTAGGGCAGTGGTTTTCAAAGAGTAATTCCCAGACCAGCAGCATCAGCATCGCTTGGGCATTCATTAGAAATGCAAAATCTCACTTCCCACTCGAACCTACAGAATCAGAAGCTCTGGGGTTGGAACCTAGCAATCTGTTTTATAATACCTCCAACTGATTATGATGCATGTTAAAATTTGAGAGCCAATGGTCTAGAGAAGTTATTTTGTTTTCTCAAACCATAATTCTCTTGTGAGCTTCAGCCTAAGTCTCAATCCTTAAGTGCAAAATTAGTATCATCAAATAGTGGCAAAAGCTGAACTCAAAGCAGGTTGTTTTGAGTGCAATTTAATAAGCACTTAAAGCAAGTATACTTCCCTGAGCTATAGTTTTTCATCTCTAAAATGATGTTAATAACATCTCTCTCCATGTAAGATTTTTTTTAGAATTAAGGTAATGTGTAAAGTGCTTACTAGCACCTTGCCAGACTGCCAGATAGGTGTTTGAGAAATTGCCTCCAGCAATTTTTCTAGTCAAGCAAAAAGCCCCCACCCCTCTTCCATTCTCAACTTCTCTTGTTTCTTGAATGTATTTTGTTATCTTGTGTTCTAGGCCTTTGTATTAGCTATTTCTCTTGGACACCCCCATCTCCCATCCCTCTTTATCTCACCAACTTCTTACATTTTCAGATCCCTGCTTATAGGTTAAATAGTTTACTTCCCTTGGAGGGGACTTTCTCTAATCCCCATGCCCCAGTCTCTGTGTGTCACTGCACATATCACACATTTTGGAATCACCTAGGGCAGATGCAGTCTTATGTACCACAATATTCTAGGGGACAGTAAAGTTCCTCACACATTGTAGGAGCTAATAAATGTTGAATGAATGAATGGTAGCTGTCTTATTGTTTCATCATCATCACCCAAGAACAAGTTCCCCTCTCTGGCTTGTAGTTTTTGTGCTGACTGCTTGTGATGATCAGAAATAGATAGTATTAGGACCAGTGCTTGTTTTCTCTTTCTCTGAAAGCTTTGACCTAAGCTGACACGGTAGTTCACTGAGCTGCTTTTTAACCACTGATCTCTCTGTATTGCAGGTGCCTTGGTGGAACTGTGTTCTTTGATGGATCAAGTTCATCATATGCATAACCATCCACATCCTTCGGACCTCACCATTCGGTGAGTGGGTGATTAAAAGGAGGAGGAAGAGGGTAGAATTTGGCTATAGGAGGAATGTGGTGGGAAGTTGAGGTTATAATTGTTTAAAATCAGAGGTGGAAAGAGAGGAATACAGTATAATGGAATAAGAACTGGACTGACATTCAGGAAACCTGGGTTCTAATACTAGCTTTGCAGTTTTTTATCTATATGATTTTTATCTAATCACTTTTACTTTTCTGTTTCTTGCATCTGTAAAATTAATATGTTGGACTATTTAATGTCAGGGGGCCTTTTAAAAAAGTTTTAAAAATATATATATATATATTTATTGGTTTTAGAGAGAGAGACAGAGAGAGAAAGAAATACCAATATGAGAGAGAAACATCAGTCAGCTTCCTCCTGTAACCCCCTACTGGGGATTGAGCCTGCAACCTGGGCATGTGCCCTGACCGGGAATGGAACCAGTGACCCTTTGGTGCATTGAACAATGCTCAACCAACTGAGCCACTCTGGCCAGAGTTCAAAGGGCCTTTCTAGTGCTGAAATCTTATGGATTCTTGATGCAGTGTTATTTTATAGATTTAGTCAGTTACTTTGATCAGCTACCCAGAAACCTTAGAGTCATTTTTGACTCCTTTCTCTCTTTCCATATATTTAATCCATTAGCAAATTTTATAAGCACCACATACAAAATATATCCAAAACCTGATCATTTTGCATCATTTTCACCTGGATTATTGCAAATCTAAATCATCTCCTGTTTCTGCCTTTGCCCGTCAACTGTTCTTAGCTCAGCAGCCAAAGAGATTCTTTCAAAGCATTAGTCATAAGTTAGATTCTCTTCTTTGCTCAGGATTTTCAAGTGGTTTTTGATTTCCCATCTTCTCATCTTCACGATCCCCTACATCTCCTATAAGGATCATGGCGTAGTCCATGGGTGGGCAAACTTTTTGACTCGAGGGCCACAATGGGTTCTTAAACTGGACCGGAGGGCCGGAACAAAAGCATGGATGGAGTGTTTGTGTGAACTAATATAAATTCAAAGTAAACATCATTACATAAAAGGGTACGGCCTTTTTTTTTTAGTTTTATTCATTTCAAATGGGCGGATCCGGCCCGCAGGCCGTAGTTTGCCCACGGCTGGCCTAGTCTGATAGCTCATCAGCCTCTGTGCTTTATTCATTCTGCTCTAGTCACTGGCTTCCTTGCTATTTTTCAAGTATGCAGACATTCTCATACTTCAGCCTTTACACTCATTGTTTCCTCTGTCGTTATCAGAAAGACAATGTAGTGGATTGGTTATTTGATAAATTCTGGTGTGAATTCAAATCCAGGCTCTTCTGCTTACTCCAATGTATAATCTTGAGCAAGTTAGTTAACCTGAGGATCAAGTTTCCTTACGTATACAAGTTGTTAATGAGAGTGCTTTTCTCATAGGATTGTCATTAGCATTAAATGAGATGAGGTGTTCAAAGAATTCACGTGCTTGTGTATAGGGCTAGGTAAATGTCAGGTATTGTTACAATTATTTTCAACCGTGGCTGTTCCTCATAATCATCTATGGAATTGTCCAAAAATATAGATGTCCAGGCTCAGATTATAGGGATTCTAAATCATTAAGTCTGGGGGTGAGGAAGGGGCCAAGAATCTATATCTTTAAAAAGTTTCCCAGGTGGGTTATTAGGAACAGCTGGAGTTGAGAGTGGGCTTAAATGATCTCAATGGGTCCTCTTCAGAACCCCAGTCCAACACATGACTAAAGGAGACTCAAGAAACTCTAAGTCTGTGCTATTAATTGTTCAGTCTCTAAACTTACAGTGTGATGCTCACATGATGACTTACCTTCTCTGGGAATTTTATTCTAATTTTAACTGCTGTGTCCTGAGCAACCTTGAGCTGTGCCAGACAGGTCCTGTTGGAAGTAGAGCTCTGATGCAAGAATGAAATGTAGATCCCGTTCTAAATGTTTCTAGAGGGGGAAAGTATTTTTTTTCTACTTAGTCATTATTATACATTGTACATTAGGTTTTCTTGGGACATTTGTTACCACATAATACCTGTCTGGGAATTAGGTGGCTTTGGAATTTGGAAGGAAATAGCAATTATAATGTGACTTTTGTATAAAATTTTGAGAATTGAAATGTAAAATTTGATTTCTTAAAGTAATGACATTCTTAAAATAGTTGTATACAAAGAGCCATACCAGCTGAAACCATCATCTTTTCTGTTTTTATTTTCTCTCTCTCTCTTGACAGAAACTATGCCCGGTTCCGACAGAAACCTCTGGAAAGATACAGTCTGACTCAGTGGGTTGACAGGAACAAGCGAAGCCACCAGCGGTTCCAGAGTCTCTAAGATATCCAGTACAGTCCATGTGTCTCACCCCATTAGCAGTGAAGGTCCCTGTCCAGGTTCTGTCCAGTGCAGCATCTCATCTTCTGCTGTTTTGTGCTTGGCCGATTTTGAATTTTATTTTTCACAAGATTTTTATTTAAAGAACTTTTTGCCTTTTGGAAGTGCCCATTGCCGACTTGAAATTTTTTGTATAAAATCCTTCAGGCGTGCGTGTGTGCGTGCGTGTGTTTAAGCAGTGTTAAGATGATACAGTTTTTATTTGTTTCTTTAAATTGAAGGTGGCCACCTCCTGAAAGCCAACATTAAGCCAAAACACCCAGGCTCAAACTAAACACCCATCTTTATGCAGAAGTGAAATCTACTGTTGCCCAAGAGAAATAATCGTTTAATCTTCTGTAAGGAAGAGATTCTTTATCAGGCTGCAAGCCAATGTTAATTGCTCATGACTTATAAATGGATACAAGTAACTTTTAACACCCCTCTTACTTTCTTATTTGAATCTCTAAATACCTGTCAAAATTTTAACGTTGGTAATCCAAAATGTTTGAAATAGGATAGATGTCCTGTTGAAAGGACAAATTAAAAGTATAAATCTTCTCTCCTTTTTGTATCTACCATCTGCCTTTATTTTTGGCTTTTATTTCACCCTTTATCAAACTTACTTTGCATAGTAGTGTTTGCAAATCGTATACATCTTAACTTTGACAGAAGACTGCTGACTGAGTAACCCATGTTGATTTGTGGTCTTGTAGCTGTCTTCTCTGCCTTTTTTCAAGGATTTGCCTTTTTTTTTTACCCAGTGACCACTGTGCTCTCTAGGGTTCGACTGATAAATTCCTGTTAGACATGGATGTGCCTCTTAAGAACAGTGTCCCTACTGTGTTTACTGAAGAGCTGCTCACACAGGGTCTCCACTCCAGGACAGTCAAAAGTCAATGCTATTGAGGCTTCAGTTTCATCTGCCGAACCCAGACTTTAAGGATGAGGTCATGTGCTAGTGAGCTTCCATCCTGTGGGAGAAACTTTGGAGAGGCACTCTTTTGTCTCCGTTATTAGTCAACAAGAGGTGCCTTTAGACCCTGGATGTTATCATCTCATTTGGTCGAACCTCTGATGCAGTTTTACAAAACTGCTAACATGGGTCTAATATAGTTGTGATTAAGCCTGTGCACAAAAACATTACCTGATCTTAAGGTTTGGTTTTCTAACCCAAGTTGACAGACTGCAGCCATCTTGATGGATGCCTTAGGAGTTTGCTATTCTTTCTTTAAAGACAGCTTTAGACATCTTTCGGGAGATTTTGCAGTCCAGTATTTATGCTGTTGCCCACTCTCTGTGAAAGTTGTACATAGTTGCTGTAGCACAGCCTGTGATACTGGCTAGCTGCCTCTCTCTGGTTTTGTTGTTTCATCAGCCCATCTTTGTGAGTAACCCATCTTAAGCATCCTTCCCTGCTTTAGAAACTGACTTGGGAAAAGCTTGGTCATTCATGCCACCAATAACTTTAGATGGATATCCTTAAGTATTTATTGTTTTTATCTGGTTAAGGATTCTCTCTTCCTTGGACATTTGGTTTAATTCTGAGACCAAAATGCTAAAAAGTTACATGCAAAGGCAAGAGTCAAATCTATTTTTTCAGTTATCATTTAATATGTCAGTCACTTCTCGAGGTTTTCTTAAATTAGGTTGATAGAGTGAGACAAGCAAAAATCTATCTACCTTTGGAACCACAGCATAGCTAAAATTAATCATAGCTGGAATAACTAGCATTGCAACTGCCTAGGGCCCCGTAGATAACGCAAGTTCTGAAGAGACAGTGTTTTGCTTAGGCCAAAATCTAGGACTCATGTTCCTACCTTTCTGCTACAAAAGGGTTTAAGCCTGAATCTGTAATGGGAGCATCGCCTTTGCGAAATCATATGAGTGACAGGTTAACTATAAAATGTGACAATCACATTTCCTCTTTGCTCAAATAATTCTGTTTTTCCAAAGCTTTAGCAGCTTAATTAAATCTGTTGGACTGGAGGAGGAGAGAACTGTTCTCTAGCAGTTAACATAATATTCTTCAAGGAGAAAAAAACAGCCAAAGAAAACTCATTATTAGGCATGCCCGCCTGGTGGGTAAAATCTGGAGTTTTAATATGTTTTTAAAGATGCACATCTATGTTAACATACATTTAACTGCCTACCTACCTTTCTTCAGCCAGGATGACATTCTCACCACAGGGGTATTGATGAAGCAGAGTAAAAATGTGTTTATGTAGTTTACTTAGAGGTAAAGAGCCGGAAATAACCTGCAATTTTGCATCTAATGCAGGCCCTGCTTTGAGTTTTTGTCAGGATCACTTATGAAACAAGTTTGGTGCCTCCTCTTTATCATGGTTTTTCCCTTGTAGCAGTTGTGTTTAATGTCATTAAAAAGAAATAAAAGTTCTTGTCAGTGGCATATGTACTGTGACCGTCTGTTGCAGGCTTTGAAGGAGGGTTCCTTCCTCCTTTGCGTAGGTAGGTTAGTGGGGTATAGAAGGGGGTGGCAGTTAGTAGAATGTGGTGCTGGGAGGCGGAGGTGCATGCTCCCTATTCTTTTGAGGGTAAATTACAGTGTTGAAAAAGGTGTTCCTGCAGCTAAGAAATGTTGAAATTGATTGGGATTTGCAGGTACATATAGTGCATGTCAGGGGGCTGACACTGGGAGAGCCTGAAATATCACTGGGCTGCTGTTTTTGCAGAGGGGAAAAGGGCTCAGCCTGCTCAGACAGACATTGCCTTGCATTCCTCCCCATGTTTGTGTTTGACCTCTGTGCCTCTGCCACTCCAGAGTTAGCCCTGATTAAGGAGGAAGCTGAACCATCCTGGGACATTCTCCCTTTGAAAGGGATGTGAAGTCAGAATTGATAGTGCAAAATTAAAGCTTGTTCTTCTCCAGAAATTAACTGTTCCTAGAACCTGGGGTGAAGGTTGGATAAATATGGGTCGATGTGGGAGACACAGTGTTCCTTAGATCCTTTCTGTGAGCCTAGCTTCTTAGTACCCTTCTTAGGAACAAGGATGAAAGGGAAGGCAATAAGAGCTTGGCACCTAGATTAGCCATTGCTTTTTAAAATTCAGCTCCTACTGAGAAAATAAGGGGCAACATGTTTGGACAGGCTTTCTGAGCTGCTGTTCTATAAATTTCATCTAGTATATATTTTACAGTCCAAGTAGAAGGTTCAATATAAATTTGCTAAGTACTCAACTATTTGATACTGTTTGAGTCAGAGGTGCTTCTGACTTGTACATACCTATTTTGTTCCTGTCAGATAGACAATCCTTAGTCCAGGAGTTGCTCATTTCCTTTTTCACAAGGTATGACTGTAGGCTTCAAAGGTTTCAGGGACCAGACTGGATTCTCTGGAATGGTGGTGTCCCTTACCCTCCGTTTGTTTTATGTTATAGAAAAGTGAGGAGAAAGACAAATGGACCTTCTCAAAAATGGGCTCATTCTGTAACCATTCTTTAAAACATTCTCCTGTTTTGAGCTTTCACAGAAAGAAAAACCCCAAGCACCTAAAACTAGAAAGCTGAGTTCCTTGCTCTTCTGGGTATTGTCCTGCTTTCTGAGAGTAAACAATTATTTCTAAGCTGATTCTAAGGTATGCTTGGCGTTGTATGCCTAAGCACCTGTCAGGAAAAAAATTCCCTCCCACTTGACACAGGAAGTATCAGCTGGTCAGGGGTGGAATTCCTTAATGAACAAGCTCCTGCCTTGTCAATCCTCCCCACCTGTCTTCCCCCTGTGACAACTGGGACATGCCATAGACAGAAAATCTGACCCTCCCTAGCACCCACTGAGAAGGCGGTGGGCCCTAACTGGTTTGGCACATTGGCGGACTGAAGGATCTCAGGTTCGATTCCAGTCAAGGGCACATGCCTGTCTTGCGGGCTCCATCCCCAGTAAAGGGGCATGCAGGAGGCAGTTGATTAATGATTCTCATCATTGATGGTTTCTATCTCTTCCTTTCTGAAATCAATAAAAATATTTTTTTTAAAGAGAAGGGGGTGGAATGTAATCATTTGGACAATCTTCAAAGCAGTCCATGGGGTAGTCATGAAATGTATCATTAAGGAACTCTTTGTATACAAAGATTCTCTTCAGTTTAGCTTCAAGTAGCTTGATGAGATTGGAGCTGGGGGTGGGGGTGGGGATAGCATCCATTTACATAAACAATTTGTTGGAGGCTACTTAAAACACTGACAAATAGGTTTAAAGAAGGTGAGAAAGTAGAAGTCTGAAACGTGATGTTTGGTGAGATTTTACATATTTCTGTAAAGGGTTGAATCAGAGATCTTAAAAGTGGATTCTAGAGGAGGCCCATACTGAAAAGCTAGTGGTTGAAGGGACAGGATTACAAGGAGAAAAGGGCTCCTGGCCCCATGAAAACAGTCCACAATCCTTCCCTAAATTCTGGGGTTTCCCTCTTGTTCCTGTGAGGAAGCCCCTTAGCTCCCAGTCTAGGTGGTGAATGGGGTCTGACAGTTGAGGAAACCAAGGCCCACTCCCCATCCCACCCTCAAGTAACTGGTCTGAGGTGTTATGTGTTATATGTATTATACGGTGGGGTCTCCTGCCTCTCAGCCCTGCATTCCCTCCCACAGGCCTACTGTGGTCTGCAGTCAGGTCTCAGCCTCAGAATAAGCAGTGAGCAATCTGTGGACGTATGTGCGTGGTGAAGAGACCACTTCCCAAGTCAGCTGTAGGGTTCTGTGCAGCTACAGTTGATTCAGGAAAAGCTCAGTCATTAAAGAACTTGGGGGTGTAGGTAGGTAATTAAAGGCAACAGTTTAATGCAGGACTGTTGTTTGTTTTTCTCCCTTCACACCCTCAGCTGATGTACTATAGGCACAGATAAGAGGGAGACGGGAAACTCCCACTAGCAGTGCTTCCTGAGCCCACTGACAGCTTCTACACCTGATGCTGACTTGGGGGCTTCTCCATCACTTGGCACTATGTGAGCACAGAGGACCTGGGAAGTACCTCTTAGGTTTGGCTTAGGGTTCTGTGTGCTAATCGACTTCCCACTCAGCCTCTAAGACCTGCCTGCTTCTTTTCTCAGAACCTTCCAGAACAGCCTTCCCTAAGCCCGATCACCAAGTTCTTGCTGGTTCTGACCGAAATGTTCGAGGTGCCCCATTTACTGGTTTGCTCTTTGGCTAATGGCACCATTACTCTACCTTTCAGCCTGCTGTTGGGATCGTAAGGATATTCCTTTAACAGTCCAGAACGGCATGCTGTGATTACTGAGCCGCAGCAGGCAGCTTTGCAGTTCTTCACTTCTCTGCTCACCCCTGGGAGAAACAGACTGCATTCCTTTGGCCAAGGAAAGCACCCACCCCATCCGAGGGGAAAACCCTTTGTTTTAAAAACTGAGCACCAGCCTGCATACCTATGTGGTGAGGCAGCCCAAGCTTGGTTTAGGGTACGGGGGCGGGGCTCAGTAATAGGATGATGGAGCAGCTATTTTCTCCTCCTACACGTGCACCCCCATCTGTTCGAGATTTCCCTTCCAACTCCAGCTTGGCAGGCAGGCATGTCCCTAGGAAGCTGCAGGCCAGAATGGAGAGAGAACTGAGTGGCTGCCAACTGCCAGAAAAAGAGGGCAACATTTGGGCATTTACCAGGAGACAAGGATGTGCCTTTTCATTTGTCTTTTTATTTTACATTTAAAAAGTGGTTATTGCTCTAACTGGATCGGAGGTTAGGACCTCTCTCCCCTAAGGAGCTTGGCCTTGCAGCCCCATTCAGCAGGGATGGACGTCACAAGACAATGAGTGAAGCCTCATGCCCTCCCATGAGGAAGCCCTTAGTGCTGCTGACATCTGCCTTTACCCTGTCTCTCCTCCCTCTCTGTGTTCCACACTCAGAAGTGGCCGGCCCAGCCCTGAGAGCTCTTGTAGACCGGAAGGAAGGGTGGTCACTGGGTGATGGCTTTCAGCTCTCTGGCTTGGGGCTATTGCTTATTCAGTTCAACAGGTATTCAATGAGCACCTACTGTGTGCCAGGCTTGTGCTAGGCGCAGTGCTCCCAGACTCCTGTCCATAGCCACCACTGGAAGACGCAGAGGTCCTTCTCTTCTGTGCAGGCATTCAGCTGCCACAGCTTGTCAGTCCTAGGGAAGGGTCTGCCTTCCCTTATCAAGCACCAGTTTTTTTTTTGTTTGTTTTTTGTTTTGTTTTTTACCAGAAAGGGGCAGTGGAGAAAGACCTGTCACCTCACACCACACAGGCTCTAGGGAAGGACATGAGGACCCTGGGTAGCTTTCACAGAATCCTGGATGAGATGGCAAGATATGGAGACCCCAGAGGCCACGACTGCTCTGACTGAATGGCTCAGGCCTGCCTTCCGGCAGCTTCCACCACAGCGTGGTGATTTAGCAGCCTTCAGGATGTCCCACTGGAACGTGCCTTTCAGTTGTCCAAGACAGCACTGTTACAACTCCAAGAGGCTTTCCTAACGAAATGGGGCCAATACCTTCCAGGTATCTTTCCTGCATTTTCTTCTTAAAACCCCAGACGGATAGTCTTACAGTCAAAATAAGGGCCAAAGAAGACAGAAGATGCAGGCAACCAGCTCGGGGAATCCCTATGGCCCTCTGGAATGAAGCCCTTCGGTTGTGTTTTCCAAGAGACAAAACAGATAAATCTCACACACACACACACACACAAAGTTGTGCATCGCACTACAAACAAGTCCTTAATGGCTGAATCCAGAAAAGGCTCCACGGCAGCCACGCCCCTGCCAAGCAGGCAGGCCCATGGCTTCCCTGACGGTTCTTGGTCTGAAAGGGCTTAAGTCAGTCTCGGTGCTTGTCATCTCCCAGAAGCTTTGTGCATCTTCTCAGAGAGGAAGGCCGTCCAGGAGACGCAAGGAGGCAGAAAGAAGGCCGTGTCTCATGCAGCTTTGCCTTTTCCAGAATGGGGCCAGGCCTCAAGTTTTGTGGCTTGTTTATTTTTTGCAGAATTTGAGTTTGTAGTTCAGTCTCCTTCACCAGACTAGGACATCGGAGAGAGAGAACTGCAGCTGTGCCTCCCCCTCTACCGTAGTCCTCCCCCTCCCTGTGCCCGTGGACCTGGGGACCAGCAGAGAAGAAAAATGAAATCTTTCTCCCTGTAGACAGGTAGTCACGCTTCGATGATGTTCACCAAGAGCTTGTTTGGAAACTGGGAGGAAGAAATGAGAGAAGCGGCCAGGGCTAATTGAATAGACTTCTCGCAAGGTTGGAAACAGAGGACACGAGAAGGAAGGGAGCAGCAGGGCTGCTGCCGGAAAGCCAGGCTCTTGTCCCCTGTGGAAGGAAAGGAGTAGCCCTGCCTGCATGTCTTGTCTCTGCCGTCGCAAACCCAGCCTTCGGCCTCACTCAGCTGAATGGCCAAGTCTGGGTCCTGGACCCACTGCCCCCGGACCCGTCCACCCCCAGCAGAGCCATCCTGCTGGCTGGTTCTCACGTCCTGCAGATCGGCCTCTCAGCGCAGCCTCAGTCACTGACATTGTTGAGGTGCTTCTGGAGATGGGGGTTAATAAGAGGCTTCAGGAAAATGCGCCAGAAAGAGTGAAGCCAAGAGAGAGGACAGTAAGCCAGAGGGTGCAAGGAGATGGAGGGAGGAGGAAATGTAGAGAGGGCCAGATGTTGTTGGATATCATCGCCTGAACCATGAGATCCTCTCACATTCTCTACTGTCTTCTGAGCTGCTAAAGCCAGCACTGAAAAGGTTTCATATCTGTTTTACACAAGAGGAAATGAAGGTACAAAGAGGTGAAGCACCTGCCCAAGGTCACAGCACCACAGCTGCAGACATGAGCTCAAAGCCCATCTCTTCTTGTCCCACACCAACCAAGAGTTCTGCCCTCCCCATTCACTGCCCCCGCCTTTAACCCCTACTGGCCCCTGGCACCCTGCAAAAGGAGAGGATCCAAAATCAATTCCAGTGTCCCCTGGGTCACACAGGCAGCAGCCAAGCTTGGCTCTGCCCAGCTGTAGCCATGCCAGACCCTGAGCTGACCCTTCTGCAGTCCAGGGACTCCCAGTGCCTGAGCCATGGGGCCACCCACCCAGGTCCAAGCCCTGCCCTCACCTTGCTGCGGAGAAGCCCCCCGCCTTGGTGCTCTGGTGTGCTGGTTTCTGACGCACTCTTGGTTTTTTCCTTGTTGTTATTGGGCTCATTGTCCTTGATAATGTCATACTGGCGGCAGAAGAGGACAATGACGCCTGGGGGACAGGGGAGAGAGTCAGAGTCCTTGCCCACCTGCTCCCTTGCCCTGAGCCCTTGCTGAGCTCCAGATGGTCTCTCACCTGCACTACTGCCACAGCCTGCCTTGGCCTCTGGCTCCTGTGTCCACCTGTCCCCTGACCATCCCCTTCACTGCTGCTGCAACATGCGTTTGATCATGTCTCCTCCCTTCCCTTCTTTTAAACCTCTGAATCCTCCCCCTTTCCGTTAGGGGAAAATAGAAACAACAGTGCCAACTGAGTGCCAACAGAGCACGTGCCAACCTGTGCTGTGCACTGACATATTCCAGCTCACGGAGTCCTCATAGCACGGAGGGTCCCTATGGCCCTCCCCAGGTGAGAGTGAGGACACTGATGCAGAGCTTAGGTGACTTACTCAAGGTCGCTCTGGGGTGCAACTGGGGTGTGCACCTGGGGCCTGCACTCTGTGAAATGTTTATTTTATTGAACTAATACATGATAAGCATAAGCTTTTTTAAAAGTTGGATAGTATTAAGGCAGCCAACTCCAATTCTTGTTTTCCCCATTTTTACTTCTATGCTTGATTTATAGTGGTTATTTCTTGACCTATCTGTTTTAGATATTATCTCTTGACTTCCCACCATGGCAGTGTCAGGGGTGGTCAGGGTTGCCTCTGGCCAGAGACAGTACTCTGCATCCTCAGTTCTTGTCTTCTTGTAGGGGCGAACTCACATGAGACAACAAGCAGGCGGGAATATTTGTAGAAAAGGAATACATTCAGATATTGTCTGAGCAGGCAACTCAGCCACCAGAAACTAAACCAAGTACCCTGCTTAGTTGGGGTTTGGGGTATTTATACCCTTAAACTGGAGTGCGCCTAAGTAAGTCTCTCCCTCCCTTATTTCTCAAAAACAGTATCTTCAAGTCAAGTTATAAGGCTCCTCCCCCAGGCATTAGGCCACCAGTTAGACTGCATCCTGGAGGGGCTCTAGCTCTTCTCACACAGGGGCCTGCCACCTCCATTGTCTAATTGTGGCGTGTCATGTCTCACACGTATCCCCTCCAAGCCCTCGCTGCCTTTCCCAGCTCATATCTTTTGAGCTGCCTCCTCTAACAGTAGATAAGGCCTACCAACTCCCCCTGCTTCCTTCCCCATCACCCTAACAGAATTACACAACAATTTTGGGTTCATTCACTATGTTTATATTGTTATGATTACATAAAAACTATCTGTGCCAAGTCTAATAAAGCATCATAAGCAAACCTCCTCTTTTGTATAACCCTTTTCCCCTAAGTGCCTGTTTTTCTATGAGCCTATGGGAGCTCCCTCTCCCCCGACCCCCCAAATTCTTCTACCTGAGAGAGCCTGCTCCTCACCTACATGCTAACATGGCTTAGACATGTTCAAGTTCCTCCACACAGACTCCAGCACTTCACAGCCTTACCATCCTTTACTCCCCCACTTTCTACCTTCTTTCTTGGGTCATAGCTGCACTGAGCCAACTGAGCTTATTAATTTGTTTCTTGAACACACTGCCCAGAACACCCTCCCTTCCTTTTTTTGGCTGCCCGGTGAACTCCTATTCACCCTTCAAAGCTCAAATCCTATGTTACTGCTCTTTGTGTTTTTCCTGTTTTCTACTCCTAGCCCCAGAGTTAATTTCCTCTCCGCTGCTCCCATACACAGTCCTATCATAGCACTCATCTCATTGAATTATAGTTAACACGGGCCTGACTTCTCCCAGACTTGCTTGCAAGCATGAGGCTCCTCTTAGCCATAGCGGTAGCACTACCTGGAATTCACTATCTGGAATGTAGCACTATGTACAATGAAGTGGCTGTTCAGAAAACGCTGATTGAATACAAAAATGAAATTTGATCTTTATCCTCAGGGAGCTTACAGATAGGTGGAAAAGAGAGAGAGAGATAAGCCCAACTAACTTATCTAAGAAGAGCTGACGAGAGGGGCAAACGGTGTGCTTGGAGGCATCGTGGCAGGAATGACCTAGTGCAGTGATGGCGGACCTATGACATGCGTGTCAGAGGTGACATATGAACTCTTTTTGGTTGATTTTTCTTTGTTAAATGGCATTTAAATATATAAAATAAATATCAAAAATATAAGTCTTTGTTTTACTATGGTTGCAAATATCAAAAAATTTCTATATGTGACACAGCACCAGAGTTAAGTTATGGTTTTACAAAATGCTGACATGCTGAGCTCAAAGGTTCGCCATCACTGACCTAGTGAATGGGCTGGGGAGGTTATATGGAGGCGGTGTTAGAGCTGGTCAGGAGGAGTAGGTTAAGAGCGTGCCTCCACCCGGAGCCTGAGGGAGGGGGAGAGAAAATACGCCTATGGTCCTACAAGGCAACTTGATATGCTATTTTTTTGGTGAGGGCTGAGTTAGAGAAGGGATGGGATCTGGTCCCCAGAACTGTCCCAGGCAGGACTTAGAAACTTCTGACCTCTTAGCTCTCTCCACGCGCCTTACCCTTCGTTTCTGTGAGAGAAGGGGTCTGGTCAGGTCCTCCCCTTCCCAGGTTAAGTGACGAAGGGCTGGGAGGCCAGACTCACCGGCCCACATGAACAGGACCACGACGATGATCAGCACCTCGCCTGTCTGCAGCTGCTGGTTCCGCCCCATCTCCTTCATGGTCACCTCATCTGTGGGGAGAGAGACACGAGGTCTGGGCTTCTTTCCTCCCCCAGCCACTCCTCTGTGGCCAAGTCCAGGAAATGAAGCGCTTCTCTCGACATTGGTGCCCACACACCTAATGAAAAGAGGTTCTAGAACACACTGATGGCTACTCGGGGTCGCAGTGATAAGGCAATCCAAAATAAGTGTTTATATACCCATTGTATTGGGTCACTAGAGTGACCTCTCTCTTAGGTACTGCTATGAGGAGGGGGAGGGAGGAAGGGGTATGGGAAATTAGTGCTTTCTTCAACCTCCTACTTCTCTGGCCCGACCAGCCCTCACCCCACCACACCCCATCCCTTCCTAACAGTGCCCAGGCCTGCCTTTGTTCTTGGAGGCCATCTTCTCGGCCTCCCGCGGCGTCTTGAAGAGCACTGGCTCACTAGCCGGACTCTGGCCCTGGATGGAGATGGCTTGCACGTGCACGATGTACTCCGTGTCCTCCTCCAGGTCCCAGAGGGCGCAGGAGCGGGTGGTGGTGTTCACCTCCTGGATGAAGCGCAGCATCCGCACGTCCTTCTTCTGCCAAAGCAAGAGCCAGCCCAGTGTTCTCAGTGCCCAGTCCCACCCCATCTGCCACCTCTCCAGCAGCAATAGCGGGCTCACCTGGCTACCGTGCTAAGCCCTCTGCAGACATAATCTTACTTCCGCATCCCCGTCTCTGCAGATAGCCTTATCTCTATTTTACAGATGAGACTGGGAGAGGGTGAGGGAAGTTGCCCAAAGCCATACATTTCGTGAGAACTGAGCCAGGTCCAAATCTCAGGTCTGTTTAAGATCAAGTCCCAGGTTCCGAACAAAGGCTCCAAAGCCCTCCCTCACTGACACATCCCCTCTAGGGCCCCCTTTTAAGCCATAAGTGCAACTTTTCTGCCAGTCTGTCCTGTGCCTCAGTCCTTTTCTTTCTCCTCCCTCACCCACCAACATCTTCCCTCCCAGAGGGTTACCTGCTGAGAGATGGCAAATCCAATGACAACCTCATCCTCCAGGACATCCCAGCTCACCACCGCAGAGTTGGCCTTGAGGTGCCTGACAGTGACATTCACTGGGGCGGAGGGGCTGTCTGGGGTTGGGGAGGCACCTGAGCCTGAGCACCCCCTGCGGCGAGGCCCAGGCCCACTGTCTCATGAGTGAACCTGGGGGAGGCCATGCAGTGGGGGAGGGAAGAAACCAAGGCCTCCCTGCGGTTGGCACCTGGACCTCAGTTTCTTGGTGGGTTGCAGGGCCAGGCTGGAGAGGCCCCAGGCTCCTTGTGTCCAGGATGGGAACCCCAGATGCCCACAACTGGCCCTACCAGGGGTGCAGGCTAAAACTGAGGGGCCTGGGCCAACGGCATATCTAATAGGGGGGCATTAGGAGGTGAGGGGCCAGGGGTGGGGGAGACCTAGGTGGCCAGGGTTCAAGAGCTGAAGGTTAGTCTGATGAAAAGCAGTCAAGAGCAATCCCCGGCCAACGCTCTTTCCACAGTACTCACTGCAGTGTCAAGTGCGTGACCTTGGGGACGGGGAAAGCCCACAGGTGAAGAAGAACCAGGCTGGGGGGAGCCCTGGGGTGGGAGTTAGGGTCCAGGGAGGAACCCTCGGTGTTGCGGTGACCCAGGCAGAAAGAAGCCTGTGGAAGGGCCCCTGTGAGCCCCAAGAGGCAGGTGGGGAGGTGACAGGGGAAGATGGGGTCACTCGGAGTAGGGCCCCTCAGCTGAGAATCAAGAGTACAGGGTGGGTAGGGCCTTCTGGATGTGGGAAGAGGATGAAAGGGTGTCTGTTGAGAAGGGAGGAGGAGGAAGTGATGGGGGCACAGGGTCAGGGGAGGAAGACCCTTCCAGGACAGGGGCAATGGAGTCGCAGCCTCCGTATCTCACAGGGGGCGGGTGCTGACGGGAAGATCTGGGCACGAGCAGCACCCCTCACCCCACAGATGAGTGGACCAAGGCCTAAGGGGAGCCAAAGCCAGACGTGGGCCCGGAGAGAGACAGAGGGACACAGACAGGTGGTGGCAGACACATCCGGAGGACAGACAAGCGGGATATGAGAGGCAGACACAGAGACGGGAGCGTGAGCGAGACAGCAGTGAGGCTCCAAGAGATGGAGAGGGAGAGATGAAGGCGGCAACAGCAGCCAGAGGGGAGGCTGGGCGAGGACGAGGCCAGGCCCCACGGGACAGCTCAGATGCCCACAGCACCGGGCTCAGGGGCCACCGTGGCCCACCCGGTGCCTGGGTGCCAGTCCCTCTCCTCACACGCACACTGGGACCCCACGGTGCCCCCTCCCTCTCCGACCTGCAGAGTTGGCCTGCAGGGCTTTGGGGACAGGGAGGAGGCCCAAGGTGGGGGACTGGTGTCCTCAGCTGCTCCCCGGCCAGAGAAGGGGGCTAGGGACCCGAGGCAAAGGCTGGGGCTCAGGGCAATGGTGTGAGGGGACTGAGGTCACAAGACCCTGTCCCCCAGGGCTGGGGAGGCCAGGAGGGGCTTGGGGGCTGGAGGAAGGGTTTGGCGGTCAAGAAGGCCGGGAAGAGGCGGGGGGTGGCATTAGGGAGCAGTGAGGGGCAGGACCGGGTCCCAGGAAGCGGGGGAGGGAACTGAGGACTCCCGCCCCCCGGGCCCGGGCCCCCTTACCCGCCTGCACCAGCGCGAGGCAGACGCACTCATGGATGTTTCTCTCTCTCTCTCTCTCCTTCTCCCTTCCTCTCTGACATCAATAAAAATATATTTAAAAAAAAAGAACTGCTGGAAACATCACTTAAAAATACTTAATAAAATAATAATA